TTTTCCTTGGCCATGCCGGATACACCGAATGAACCCTTATTCGAATTCGAAGAGATCATATCATGCCTTAATAGTATGAATCCCAAAAAGGCTCCCGGCACCGATCATCTTACTGCAGATACTCTGCCTACTCTTCGCAAATTCCTTTCCACATTTAATCACATCTGTTATGAACCAATGTCTGAGACTCGGTTACTTTCCCGAAATATGGAAGCAGGCGTTTATAAAAATTATACCCAAACCTAATAAAGAAATATATACAGATGTATCTTCATTCCGTCCTATTGGTCTAATAAACGTCTTTGGCAAACTATTAGAGAAACTCATCACACGTAGGCTTACATATTTTATGTACTGCAATAAATTATTCAACCCGGCCCAATTTGGATTCAGAGAACAAACCTCGACTGTCCACGCACTCAGTAATATGATTAATAAAATCTCTCACGCCATAAATAACAAGGAACATGTTACGGTTATTTCACTTGACATAAAAGCTGCGTTCGATAATGCTTGGTGGCCGTCTATATATAGAAAACTCCATAAAATTAATTGTCCTCGAAATATTTACAAAATTTTACACAGTTATTTTCAAAGTCGTAAAGCAACAATTAATATTTGTGATAGCTCAGTGAGTAAAATCTTAACGAGGGGGTGCGTACAAGGTTCGGTATGCGGCCCATTTTTATGGAATCTCGTAGTGGATGAACTCCTAGATATGAAAATGCCACCGAATTGCAATATCCAAGCGTTTGCGGACGACATCCTTCTTGTATCACATGATAAGAATATTAATAACCTACAACACAATACTAATCAAGCTCTCGCCATGATCACAAACTGGGGAAGGAACATGAAACTCACTTTTTAGAGTTACGAAAACTCAGTGCATCGCATTTTCCAACAAGGCTGCTAGATGTGAACTTCATATGTCAGGACATAAAATACAATTTTCCAGAGAAATCAAACTCCTTGGAGTCGTTATAGACAGGAAACTAAAATTCATTAAACATGTTGATTATATAATAAACAAAGCTCGCAAATTATACAGCAAACTCATAATATTCGTCAAACCTACTTGGGGAATCCATGCAGAAAATATTGATATTATTTATAAACACGTAATACAACCCATAATTTGTTATGCAGCTTCTATCTGGCAGTCAGCCCTTAAATACACATGCGTAATCAATAAACTACTTTCCCTGCAGCGCGGATTCGCAATAAATATTATTCGGGGTTTCCGAACTGCAAGTACTGTAACCAGTATATCCCTTGCACAACTTAGTCCTTTACCTGCCAAAATAGCAGAAATGGCTGATAACGAATTAACAAGAATATCGCGGAAATCACAATATCTCCCAAATGACATCACTCTGGACACACCGGCCGAACCCGAGAAGCTTTTGCACCCATCTTTGCGAAAGTCAATTAAATACTGTGAAGAATCATCCCCAAATGACATTGAAAACATCGAAAGTCAAAATGGTTATCGCATATTTACGGATGGAAGCAAACACGATGAAAAGGTGGGTGCAGCGATGGTCGTATATAGGCCTGATGGACGCCAACTTATTCGGAAATTCAAATTACACCACTCCTGCTCAGTGTTCCAAGCTGAACTCCTTGCCATCATGAAATCCTGTAGATGGGTGTTGGATAATAATACCACTCCCGCATACATTTTCTCAGATAGTAAATCCGGTTTACAGGAAATTGCCAATCCAAATAGTTATAACTCTCTCGTCGTGGTAATCCACAAAATCTTACACCAATGTCAAACTAAAAATCTTAGTATTAAACTCCTCTGGGTAAAAGGACACTCGGGCATCCCTGGAAATGAAACAGCAGATCTAGCCGCCAAAAGCGCTGCCACTTCTCACCGTGCATACGATTTCACTCAATTTCCTATGAGCTACATCAGACATATAAACAGTCAACGCACAGCCGCTGAAATGAAATCATTTTATTCTCAAAACAACCAATCCATTTACACCAAATATTTGCTTCCAACATATGAAGATCTTACGAAATTTACTCAACTATTAAAGCCTAACTTTGCAATGACACAGTTCCTCAGCAATCATGGGTACCACAAAGAGTATTTACACCGTTTTAAAATAACATACGATGACAAATGCCCATGCGACTCATCCAGTATTCAATCTATGGCACATCTTGTTCAGCGGTGCCCTGTATTCAGTAGAACTCGGGCAAATCATGAGATCGCATGCACACTGCTTAAAATTAAACCGTATGATATGACTGAGATAATTAGTAAGGAAAGCAGCGTTGAATCCTTTAAAAACCACATTACTCATATTGTTAATAATCTTAAAAATCTCAATGGAAGTAGGTAGGAAAAAAAAAAAAAAAGTTAATTAACTCTAGGCTTCATTTTAGTAATTAAGGTATAAAAATATATTTGAAAAACAACTGTAGGCTTAATTTTAGCGATAAATATAGCTTAACTGTAGGGATAAAGGTATAAAATGTAAAGTTTGTTCTGTGAAACAACTCTAGGCTTAATTTTAGTGCCGGATACAATAATACATTTGTAAACTAAAATTCATGCAGAGCACTTGATACATCTCGAATAAAAGCATATTGTATATAAGAAAAATGAGTCATTGTTAACAAAATAATGTTATCCATATACCATAAGGACTTAATTTTAGAGATAAATGTAACTTAATTTTATGGATAAGGTATATAAGGTATAGAATGTAAAGTATGTTCTGTGAAACAATTCTAGGCTTAATTTTAGTGATAGGTATAATAATACATTTGTAAGCTAAAGTTCATTCAGAGCACTTGATACGAATGTTATTCATACACCATAAGGACTTGTAATAAAAAAAAATTAATAATACTTTTGTAAATAGCTCTAGGCTTATTTTTGTGTTAAAAGTATAAAAAGATATTTTGTTTAGTTAAATAATTCTAGGCTTAAATTTAGAGTAATAATATAATAATGTATAATGTATAATATAATACATTTGTAAACTCAACATAAATTGGCACTTGCTACATCTCAGAGAAATCAGAGTAACTAACAATTTAAATGAGTGAATCACGTTTAAAATGTGAACTATTTTAAATATCACAAGAAATATTTATTTATTTGCCATTGTTTTACATTAATAATTTTATCAACTGAAATATACCAAATTGTAATTCACAAGCGACATGTACCATAAGGAATTGTATACCAATAGCAATTCCTCATGGGAAAAAAAAAAAAAAAAAAAAAAAAAAAAAAACTAACCTAACCTAACCTAACCTAACCTAACCTAACCTAACCTAACCTAACCTAACCTAACCTAACCTAACCTAACCTAACCTAACCTAACCTAACCTTGTTCTGTATACCAAGCTGAACTTTTTGCAATTTTAAAAGCAAGTGAATGGATTCTGAACAGTAAACTTATAAAATTTTCAATATTTTCCGATAGCAAGTCAAGCCTCTTAGAGTTAAATAACCCAAACACCACGAACCCATTAGCAGTAGCAATACACCGCAACGTTACTAATATAGAAACAAGAAATAAATCAGTAAGATTCATCTGGACGAAAGCCCATAATGGTGTAACCGGGAATGAATTAGCGGACTCGGCAGCCAAATCAGCAACGAACTTAAAGAAAGCCCCCGATTATTCCAAATTTCCTATCAGCTACATAAAACAAATACATCGTAAGATTTTACAAACTGCGAGTGAAGATTACTACAATAACATACTTAACTGCACATATACCAAAACTCGGTGCCCTACATACGAAGAACTCCACAAAGTTTTAGAAAAAATCAAACCTGACTTTAATTTTACGCAAATTCTAAGTAATCACGGGTTTCACAAATGCTACCTATATAGGTTCAAAATAAGCCCAAATGATTATTGCCCGTGTGATGGAAGCACATCCCAAACTGTTATCCATCTCATTAAAGAATGCCCAAAATTTAACAACACTAGAATAGACCATGAAATTATCTGCAATAACTTAAAAATAAAGCCATACGATTTAACAGACATAGTTAAAAATACACAACTATAGAAACGTTTACTAAACACATAAAAAAAATAATTAAATCATTAAAAAAATATGATAATTAACAAAATATATCAAAAGGAAAAAAGACTGCAAAATAATATCTAAAAAACTAAATAATTAAAGAGATCCAATCTCCATAATGCAACTTGTATCCCGATAGCATTATGCATTATGTAAGAAAACTTAACAGTGTCAAAAAAAAAAAAAAACCTAACCTAATCTAACCTAACCTAACCTAACCTAACCTAACCTAACCTAACCTAACCTAACCTAACCTAACCTAACCTAACCTAACCTAACCTAACCTAACCTAACCTAACCTAACCTAACCTAACCTAACCTAACCTAACCTAACCTAACCTAATCTAACCTAACCTAACCTAACCTAACCTAACCTAACCTAACCCAACCTAACCTAACCTAACCTAACCTAACCTAACCTAACCTAACCTAACCTAACCTTATCACCAGTGCCCGGTCTCCTACGTAAAGCGTCTCATCCGAGAAGAATCCATAGAAAAATGGAACCAAAGGTACGAAGAGAGTGAAACAGGTCAAATCACGAAGAAATTCCTCCCAAGTGTCAAAGACGCCTATAAGGTGACCAGGGCGACGGCACTGTCTCCGGTAATGATCCAAGCGATGACTGGGCATGGTGGTTTCTCCGAGTATCTGTACCGATTCCGATGCAAGGAGAATCCTTCATGCGTCTGTGAGCCAGGAGTGGAAGAGACAGTGCTGCACGTAGTTCTATAATGTCCTAGGTTTGGAAAACAAAGGCACGATTTTGAGGCGTTAACTGGAGAAAGACTCGAAGAAGCCAAATTACATACATTGTTGGGTAATAAAACGACTCGAAACAAATTTATTAAATTCTGCGAAGGATTAATCAATAGGGTCGTTAAAAATAACAGAAATTAAAATAATATATTTAAAAAATAAAAAAAAAATTTTTTGGAGTTTTTTATACCGTAACTATTAAATACAAGAAGCTACTTATTATTTTAATATTAGTTGAATTTTAATTGTCTAAGTTCATTAAAATAAATTTAATGGCTGCTTAAACGAAATCTATGACATAGTATTTTTAAAGTGTGGTAATAAGTGACTTGACTTGCTTCATCATCCTGAGCAATCACCAGATTTTTACGAAGTTCGCGCACGGAATTATTAACCAAAATATAAAACCACGTGGACACGTGGTTTTTGATTGGAAACCTTGCGGCTGATTCTGACAACGGAATATCAAAGAAAATATCAAGGCAAAGCACCTGATACCTCGATCACCAAAATCGGTTGAGAAATATAGAAGTTATTACACTTTAAAGAAATAAAATTTCAGCAGAAGCTTTATATGCGAATATCTCTGAAATTTCAGTGACGACCACGGTGGTTTTTGTGATCATCTATTGAAGCAATTCAAGACCTACAAAAGGACACTAAAAACTAAATTTTTGGAGCGTAATTAGAAAAGTAAGCAATTTTATTATCATTAAGTGTAAACACGTGTTATCCTGAAGGCGCTCCTGAAAATTCTGAAAAAAATAGTGTAGACTTAATCTAAGTATCCCAAATTTTTTCAAAATTTTCCTATTGATATTATTCGAATTAGACGCTATTTGCGGTTGTTGGTTTTTATAAGTTAATTTTCAAAATTAAAAAACTCAAAAAATTTTCAGGACAAAAAATTTTTTCAAATTTAGTGTATAATAGCCATTTTACCTAGCTATATACATTATTTTTTTCGGAATTTTTTGAGGCAGCGCTTTCGGAGATAGAAATTTTATTGTAAGAGCTGGGAGGTCCTGAAAACTGCACAATAACTGTGTTTTCAGTTTACAGGAAAACGGAGCCTCCTAGCTCATTTTTGACGAAATTTTCATTCGCCCCCCCCCCGTCACCCCCCATACTATCCAGAAGCCGGATAGTCTTCGGCCCCCACCGGATCATTTGGGCTGAATTTCAATCCCCTACCCCTAAGTTGACATATTGACATAGTCTCTGGGGGTTGAAAAATTTTAAAACTGCTATAGCTTAGCAACAACTGCACTGATCCGGACGGGGTTTTTTCTAAAATTATTCATAATTGCCGGACCTTCGGTCTACATATAGACGTACTCTACATAGAGTCTATGTACATTGTTTTAATTTTATAAATTAGACTTAACGACTTTCATTACAATTAAATAGCAGTAGAATAAGAATAATAACTGTTATAGACTAACTTAAATAAAAGAGACTCTTGGTAGAGCCAAGAAAACTTTAAGCAAAATTTTTATTTCATTATTTTTTATTATTTTTTATTCTTTATTCTTACTTTCATTTTATTTTATTATACTCTTTTATTACTCCTACTGACAGCTGTACTCATAAATAGACCCTACATAGAGCTTATGTATATTAATTTTAAATTTATAAGTTAGACCTTAAGATTTTCTTTATAGTTTTATATTACTAGAATAAGACTTATTAGCGTGTATAGTGACTCGGACAAAATAAACTCTTGATAGAGCCGGACTCTTGATAGAGCCGGACTTTTGATAGAGCCGTACTCTTGATGGAGCCGAACTCTTGATAGAGCCAGACTCTTGATGGAGCCGGGCTCTCGATAGAGCCGAACTCTGGATAGAGCCGGACTCTACTTGGAGTCACGCCGATATTGCATAAAATTGGACAGTCAAAAACTTATAAAAATATAGACGCCGAGCCACTTTAAACTGTGGTGAACATAACGAAGTAGAGTCGAGACTCTACAAAAAATTTTATTTTATTATATACTTTAAAAAATTGTTTGCTTTTTATATGGTTGGAGAACTGACTGAGGCCTAACTTAAACACACGACAGCCGTGTCGAACTGCAAAAATATACAGCTAAATTTTATGCTTTTATATTTTCACATTTATTTTTACAACTTATACAAATTTACATTTTAAATACTTTTTATACAATTTAATTTTATTACCGTGATTTGAGACGCGTTCCCCCTAAATATGTTCGGCATCCGTACCCCCGTCAAAAAAACAGAGACCAGTGCCAAAGACATGAGCCCTCAAGGCTCACCAACTAGGACAGAAAAGGCAGGACCTTCTCCAAAAAGTAATCAGAGTACGCTGGTTACCAGCGTAAGGAGAAGTATAGGAGAATGGGAGACGGGGGGAAAAACAGACACAGTAGCCACAACACACAACTCCCCTAAAAAGGTAGCACCGGCTGTGCGTCCCAAACCAAAAATTGCTGCATCACAGGAGAGCAAGGGAGCAACCCGCAAAGTACCAGAGCAGGTAACAGAAGGCTCACCGAAGATAGAGA